ATTGTCTATTTAACGTCATTAATTGTTTTTCATACTTTCATATGAATTTTCTGTGCAAAATGCAATTTTGTCATAAAAGTGCACTCGCTGAACTTATTCATAGATAGAATCGTAATTAAATGCGAACCAGCATTTTGCAAGCTAAAATTCTCGTAAATTTTGTTAAAGAATGTATATATTATTATATATCAGTTTATTGCAAATTTTATTGTCTATTTAATCCCATCACTGGTTTATTAAGTTTTCATGCAAATTTTTCTGCAAAATCTAATTTTGTCAAAAAAGTGACCGCGCTGAATCGATAATAGATAGAATCGTTCGTGAAATGCTATAAAATGTTTAACAACAATTTTATGCTAAATTATGTTTAGGAATGAATATATATTTATATATTAGCTTATTTTGAATTTTATTAGTTATTTAACGCCATTAATTGTTTTTTATACTTTCATATAAATTTTATTTTCAAAATGCAGTTTTGTCAAAAAAACGCACTCGCTGAACTCAATAAGATATACAATTTGTTCGTTATTAGATAATAGATACAAATTATATGAATTTATCGAAGATTATTTTAACATTTGAAATTTTAACTATATATTAATAGTGATTGTACATTTATATATGTTGAATTCGCGTTTTGTGCTTTTTGAAATTTACAAAATATTATTTATATTCATGTCTCTTAAATTTAAACGTGAAATTAATAAGAAATATGAGGCACTGTGTTTAAAATGAAAGACTTTGTATAAAAAGGTTATAAATCTACCTAAAAGTCTTAAAATAATTAATATATTAATAAGCTACTTTCTGAACTTTATGGATAAAAATCACTCCAAAAAATTTGCATTATTAATAAATAATAAGCTACTTTCTGAACTTCATGGATAAAAATCATTCCAAAAAATTTGCATTAGTTCGAGTCTGGATAAATATATCTGACAATTAAATTATAACAAATAGTAAATTTATATTTTATTTTCAAAAAACTTGACGAAACCGAAAACGCTGGAACGAATTAATATCATTTCAATGTATTTATATGGAAATAATTGCTTCGACATACGAGCGATTCGATATACGAGCATGATTACGTAACGAATTAAATTCTTATGTCGAGAAATAAAATAAAAATTTAATTATATTAATTACATTCATCAATATATTAAAAAATTACCACGCCAACGGTATCTGCATTGTTAAATCAATACCGTCGTCAAGTACAAATAGAAATAAATATCTTCAGGATAAAAAATAATTATAAATAAGAATTTATTATTACAATGGCAAATTTGGACAGTGGTAAAAATGAAGAAAGTGGTAAAAATGATAAAAAAATTGTTGGTAAACCGGTTAAACCTCCTGGTTTATTGGTGCCTTTCGATTGCAGACCGCAAATTGCTTTGGAGGAATATATTATGGCTAAACAGACTGCTAAAATATCATAGTAAGTATAAAAGATTTTTATAAATTGTTACATCAGTCATCTAAAACAATACACACAATTCTATTAATAGAAGTAAAACTTTTGGTAATGCAGGAATAAAATTAAAGAGGGTAGAAATTGATTTTTTGTGAACTTGTGTTGAATTCTTTAAGAGGACGAACTTTATTAACATTGTTTATAATTTATAATATTTTCATACAATTTGTAACATATTTAGACAATTTATAGCATTTTTAACAATTTACTACACCGTCAGACTATTTTCAAAAATTAGTCTAGAAAATTATTTTAACAGAGTTTTATTGTATAAACAGTATGCAGATTTAATTTATAAATTAAAGAACTACTTATTATTGTTATTTTTTCAGTAGGTTTCCAGAAAAAGATGTAGCTCGAAGTGGACCTGGAATGGCTTTAGTTTTAGTCAATAGAGAACTGGAAGAAGCTCAAAGACATTTGGAAAATGTTAGGTAAAAAATATTAATACTTTTAACATTAGTGATAAATAAATTATTTTTAAATCATGCACTTTCCTTAAGGTAAAATTACACTTAAATCTGTTTGGTAGGCATATTAAATTAAATAAACAATATTTTATAAATAACTCTTACACCACCATCATCATTAAAAAAATGTTTGACTTTATCTTAATTTATAAATAATTTTTCATTTACATTAGTGCCATTTTAATTATTATTTTTATTACTATTTTTATTATTATTTTTAGTATTACTTTAGTATTATTTTTATTATTATTTTTTTCTAGGAGATTTGCAGCAAAAGAGCACAAAAAAATCAATAACAAATTAAGAGAAATTCAAGAAATCGATCTTCAAGTTCGACACAACGCCTTGAGGTACAACAAATTGGTCATCGAGAATCGAGACAAGAGAGAACGGTCTGCAAAAGTGGTAAGTTTTAAATTGTTATTAACAAATTTTAAAAATTGTGTAAATGTAGTTTTGTTCAGAATTTTATAAGGTTTATGGTGATGTATAGTAGTATATAGGGGTTGGAAGAAAGTTTTGAGATATTTGAGAAATAGTGGAAAAGGGTCTCGAATATTTGTAACAAAGTATTCGATTTTGTGGAAGATACTTCGATTAGTAATTATTTTTGTTAATTTTCTAAATTAAAACAAGTTTTATAAATAATTACATTTTGTGCAGAATTTTATCAATTTTTTGATTATATTATATAGGTATTCAAAGAAAATTTTAAGATATTTAAAAAATAGTGATAAAGTGTCCCAGACATTTTTAACAAGATCTTCGATGTTATGTAAATACTGCGATTTTAATATTTTTTGTAAATTTGTATAAATTAGGTATACTTAGGTATATTTATAAATAATTACAATTTGTGAATTTGATCAGCTTTATGCTCATATAATATACTATATTACCTATATAGTTAAGAAAATTTTTTAAATATTCTAAGAAATATTGAAAAGACGTCCCGGACATTTTTATCAAAATATACGACTTTGTGGGAAATACTGCTATTTTAATATTATTTGTAAATTTGAATAAAATAAGTATAGTTCTATAAATAATTACAATTTGTGAAGAATTTTATAAGTTTTATGCTTATATAAAATACTATAAGAAAATTTTAAGATATTAAACAAATATTGAAAAAATGTCTTGCAGTTATCAATTATTTTATAACACGAAAAACTATTATAAATTTCAGAAAAAAATAAAAAATATTTATATATATATATATATATATATATATATATATATATATATATATATATATATATATATATATTTATATATATATATATATATATATTTATATAATATAATATAAATAATTTTATACATATACATATATAAATTATTTATAATTTCAGATAGAAACAAATCGAAAAAAACAAAAAGAGTTACAAGAAGAAATCCAAGAGCACAATGACAAAATCGAATATTACAAAGATTTAATAATATCTTTGAGAGAAAATATTGAAAAATATAATATGTATGAGGTATTACATTATATATGATATATAAATTATAAAAAACATAATATTAATTCCAAATTTTAATTCTAGCTATTTTTAAAAAATGTTGCAATGTTACGAAATACAAGATATCAGACGCCTATGGATATTTTGAATCATTATGAATCGATAAGTAAGTTATATATATATATATATAAATATATATATATATATATATATATATATATATATAATTATTATTATTAATATAAATTTATTAATAAATATACTAAATTTCAATGCTCATACACTTTTACTACAAATTCTATAAAATAAATAAATTCTTATAGAAATAAAATTAAATAATAATTAAATAATTTAAAAATATTCAGGAATATTATTTGACAGGGCATATAAATATTTTTACTCCAACTTTCAATTTACTTAAATTTACAAATTTCATACTAAATCTGTTAGAGAAAATGTAATTTTACTTTTTTCGGATTTTTTCGGATTTAATTTATTTTTATTATTTTTATTTTAAGTGATGTGCAAAGATAGAATTTACAATGAACAACAATCTGAATTGAAGAATTTAAATGGTACTATTGATGAGGTCAGAAAATTGGAGATTGATATAGCACCAGAAGTCGTGAAACATAATGTTATTATGCACGATTTAAGAGTAAGTAATAATATATATATATACATATATATATATATATATATATATATATAAATTTATTCCCTAGGAAACTTATGAAAAAGCTAAAAAGACCACCAGCTACTGGGAAACAAAAATCGAGCGCATCAAAGAAGTCATCCATACATCCAATCTGGATCTGAGCCAAATTCAAGGAGCATGTTGGCAAATGTATAGATTTTTATCAAAACATAGAGGTGAAAAATTAAAGTTGCCAAAGGACAACACCTGCGACCAATTGGTTTATATCAAAAGAGGTGTCCAGGAATTAAAATTAATTGTTGAGGAAGCCAAAAGGATCGAACAGTTGGAGGAGGTCAGCGGTAAGGCTACTGTTGGAAGTGATTTAACTACTGAGATAGTTTGAAATAGAATTGAAAGTATTTATTTAGGTACAAGTGTACAAATGTTCCAAATTCATACCAAAACTGATTGTTGTGTTATTTAGGGTAAAATAAGTTATGCAGTGTGTATTTGTTAAATACATGAATTTAATATTAATGGTAAATAGAGTTATAGGTGTTAATAACATAAAATACATTGTTGACATTTATAAAATGTTAAATTTTTGTTGTAATATTATATAATAAATTCATATATGTATTTAACAATATTATTCACATTCTTAATCATTGATAAAACGATTTATATCAAATAATTTATTACTTGTGGTCAATTATTTAACCAAATCATTTACGAAATTAATAGTGAGTAACTAATAACATCCATAATTATATAAGTTACTACTAATATTCATTTAATATATATTTCAATAAATTGAAAGTTTGATTCTTTTAAATTTGAATAAAATCCGTTTAAATTTAACGGTTTTTAACGCATGGCAACACTTTTTACGCTGCCTGTATTTTGACATCTCAACGCTCTGAAGTTGTTCTCGTTCTTTTAACTCACGTGTTGAAATTTTGTGGACGTCTTTTTAGGTTATAAGTGATAAATTTATATTTATTTATAACAAATCGTGATACAAAAAACATAAAAATGAGTCTTTATAACTTTAAGAAAATCGCCGTTGTGCCCCCTGCAAAGGTGTGTATAAAATATAAATTTGAACAAAAATATTTATATACCACTCATGATATGTGATAAATTTATTTATTCTATTTTAGGACTTTATAGATATCATTCTATCTAAAACCCAAAGGAAAACACCGACAGTTATTCACAGGAATTACAAAATATCAAGGATACGTGCGTTTTATATGCGTAAAGTGAAATTCACCCAACAGAATTTTCACGATAGGCTCTCACAGATTATCCAAGAATTTCCAAAATTAGATGATGTCCATCCCTTTTATGCTGATTTGATGAACGTTTTGTATGATAAGGATCATTATAAACTTGGTTTGGGACAACTGAATACCGCTAGACATTTAATAGACAAGTAAGAAAAAATACATATGTATGTCAACAAAGGTTAGGTTGAATTTTATTAATGTATGTTTTATGTTTTAGTGTTGCAAAAGATTATGTGCGATTGCTTAAGTATGGAGACTCTTTGTATCGTTGTAAACAACTTAAAAAGGCAGCACTTGGTCGAATGGCCACGATAATGAAAAGACAAGCTGCTAATTTAACCTATTTAGAACAAGTATGAGCTTCCCAGCCACTGAATTGTTTTTATAAATAATTTATAGAATGTGTGATTAAAGTATTTATTTATAATTTAGGTCCGTCAACATTTAGCACGTTTGCCTAGTATTGATCCATACACAAGGACTATGATTATTTGTGGGTTCCCAAATGTTGGAAAATCTAGCTTCATAAATAAAGTTAGTACAGAAAATACATATATTTAATTCTGCTTTATATAAATACAATTACATTAACACAAAGTAAGTTTAGTGAATATTAATTAATTAAATCATTTTTTAATTCCAGATTACTAGAGCTGATGTAGAAGTACAACCCTATGCATTCACAACTAAAAGTTTATATGTTGGACACACAGACTATAAATATTTACGTTGGCAGGTAAATTGATAAATAGAAATAATTATTTTAAACAAGAATTGAAATATATTCATTAAAACTATGTTATCTGAAAATAAGTATTTCATTCTTATTATTATGTTCAGTGTTTTATGTATTTTTATTTTTTATGTTAATTAATATTTTTTGTATTATTTTTAAGGTGATAGACACTCCTGGAATCCTGGATCATTCTTTGGAAGAAAGAAATGTTATAGAAATGCAAGCAGTAACAGCTCTTGCTCATTTAAGAGCATGCGTCTTGTATTTTATGGACTTATCGGAGCAATGTGGACATACAATTGAAGAACAGGTAATAAAATTTATACATATATATATATATATATATATATATATATGTAGATAAAACCATGTACAATTCTAAGATTTCAGCCTCTTACCACAAACCTCTATTTTGTAAGTCTTTGACCAATTTTTTATCCTGCTTTTAGTCAATGTTTTGTACTGAATTTGTATATATAGATCTTATTAAACTTATGGAAAAACTTAAATTAAACTCATTTTTAATTAAGTTTATCATATATTGTTTGTATTGTATACCCATAACATCTTTTTTTTAAATTTTGGGCCCAATTTTGTTTTATTTTAATTTTTTCTATAATGTTCAATTGAAAAAATACGTAGAGCCCTAAATTTTTACCCCCTTAACACAAACCACTATTTCATAATAGTATGGAATAATTTTTCATCATTCATTTCATGAATGTTTTTGACTTAATTTTAGCTCAGATTTTTTTGCATTTATGAAACAACTTAATTTTTACTTCAAGCAACATTTTTTTCTATGAAGATTTGTCCACACCTAACATTTTTTTTAAATTCTGGGTTAAATTTTGAGAAAAATCTTCTTTATTGTAACATGTAATTAAAAGATACATACAACTCCAAATTTTCACCTTCCTACCACAAATCCTTATTTTATAATAGTCATTTATAGTAGTCTAATTATTTTTTATACAGCTTAATCAATTATAGTCTTTTTGTGAAAGTTTTTTCGCTGAATTTCCGTAATTTTTGTTAAAAGGTGTATATATTATTATATACAGATTTACAGTAAATTTTATTGTTTTTTAAACAATATAAATTACTTTTTGCACTTTCACATAATTTTTTTTGCAAAATTTAATTTCGTCAAAAAAGTGCACGCGCAACCTCAATAATTATTACGATCGTGCGTGAAATGCTTATCGACATTTTTATGCTAAAATTCTCAGAAATTTTGTTCAGAAATGTATATATTATTATACACGAATTTACAGTAAATTTTATTGGTTATTCAGCATCATCAATTGCTTTTTATACTTTCATATAAATTTTCTTTGCAAAATTAAATTTTGTCTAAAAAGTGCGCTCGCGGACTCCATAATAATTACAATCGTGCGTAAAATGCTTATCCACATTTTTATGCTAAAATTCTCCTCAATTTTTGTTAAAGGATGTATATATTATTATATATCAGTTAATAGTAAATTTTATTGTTCTATTATTCTATATTTTTATTCTATTTAACATCATCAATTGTTCTTTATACTTTCATATGAATTTTCTTTGCAAAATGCAGTTTTGTCAAAAAAGTGCACTCTCTGAACTCATCTAATAATCTGCATTTTACAATCTAAAATTCTCGTAAATTTTGTTAAAGGATGTATATATTATTATATATCAGCGTAATGCACATTTTTTTGTCTATTTAACGCCGTTAATTGTTTTTTACATTTTCATACAATTTTTCTGTGCAAATTCAATTTCGTCATACAACTTTGGTCCGAGCGCGGACTATCTTAAAGTTAATATTAAGAGCCTAAATTTTGAGAGAATTATTTTTTAAACATCCATATAAAGGACCACCCTAATATATACACACATAATTTTTCTTTCAGGTTCGTCTATTCGAATCCATAAAACCTCTCTTCACAAACAAACCCCTGATGGTGGTTGTGAATAAAATAGACATAGTCCGTTTGGCTGAACTGAGCCCTGAAAAAAGGGCCCATTTGGCACCTTTGGAAGAAAACAAGGAGTTGACAATGATGGAAATGTCTACTGTAACCGACGAAGGAGTTTGTGAAGTAAAAGTTGAAGCTTGTGAAAAACTACTTGGATACCGGGTCGAACAGAAAATGAGAACCAAGAAGGTAAAAGAAATTTATATATATATATATATATATATATATATTTATTTATTACTATTGTTTTTCCCAGGTTGATGGTATTCTAAATCGCCTCCACGTGGCCCAGCCAAAAGAACGTGATGCCAAATCCAGGCCTCCGGTTATTCCGGAAAGTGTTCTGCAAAAGAGGCAAATTGCAGCAGATCGTTTGGAAAGAAAACGCAAACTCGAACGTGAAATTGAAGAAGAAGAAGGTGATGACTATGTACTCGATTTGCAGAAGAATTATGCAGAAATTCCTGAAGAAGAGAGACATGATATCATACCTGAGTTCTGGGAGGGACACAACATTGCTGATTATATTGATCCTGAAATATTTGATGTAAGTAGTAGTAGTAGTATATATGTATATATATATTTACATATACATAGTGGTATTCCGTAATACGAGTTTAATTCGGTACGTAACCGCGCTCGTAAGTCGAAGCAATTTTTTTATATAAATACATTAAAATGCCTTTAATTTGTTCCTGCACTTGTTGAGTTTTTTTTAATATAATAATTATACTGATATATTATATTTTGTATATACATTTTCGGACAAAATTTATGAGAATTTTAGCATAAAAAATGTAGTGTAATGATTGTAATTTTTATTGAGTTCGCGCACGCACTTTTTTGACGAAATTGCATTTTGCAAAAAATATTGTATGGAAGTGTAAAAAGTAATTCATATAGTTAAATGAGTAATAAAATTTACTATATACTGATATATAATAACATATACGTTTTTGAACAAAATTTACGGGAATTTTAGCATAAAAAATGTGGATAAGCATTTTACGCACGATTTTATCTGCGAGTGAGTTGAAAGCGTGTACTTTTTTGACAAAATTAAATTTCGCAACAAAAAAAATTGTATGAAAGTGTAAAAAGTAATTAATGACGTTGAATAGACGATCAAATTTACTATAAACTGATATATAAAAATATATACATTTCTGAACAAAATTTACGCGAATTTTAGCTTGCAAAATGCGGATTTGCATTCACGCACGATTCTGTCTATTAATGAGTTCAGCGAGTTCACTTTTATGACAAAATTAAATTTTGCACAGAAAATTTATATGAAAGTGTAAAAACAAATAATGGAGTTATATAGTCAGTATAATTAACTATAAACTGATGCATAATAATATATACTTACTTTAACAAAATTTACGAGATTTTTACGCACGATTTTATCTGTTAATGAGTACAGCGAATGCACTTTTATGAAGAAAATGCAGATTACAAAAAGTAAACAACAATTAATGACGTTAAATAGACAATAAAATTTACATACTTTTCTGAACAAAATTTACGCGAATTTTAGCTTGCAAAATACAGATTTGCATTCAATTAGATTACAGGCACGATTGTATCTATGATTGATTTCAGCGAGTGCACTTTTATGACAAAACTAAATTTTGCACAGGAAAATTATATGAAAGGGTAAAATACAAATAATGACGTTAAATAGACTATACGATTGTCAATACACTGATATATAATAATGCATAAATTCTTTAACAAAATTTACGCGAATTTTAGCATATAAATGCAGATTTGCATTTAATTCGCTTTCGAGCTAATTCTATTTATGAATGAGTTTAGCGAGTGCACTTTTTTAACAAAATTGCATTTTGCACAGAAAATTTATATGAGAGTGTAAATAACAATTAACGACGTTAAATAGACAATAAAATTTGCAATCTAATGATATATAATAATATATACATCCTTTAACAAAAATTATAAAAATTTTAGCATAAAAGTAGGAATTTTATTGGAAGACTCTTTCTATTAATGAAATTTTTTGATGAATATTATATTTCAGTAGAGCAAATCATTACTACAAAATTGATATGGACATGTAATTAAAATAGTAATAATATATAATTAAGCTATAAAATAATTTATTATCAACATCCAAAATATTTTTATGGTAAAAAAATTATTGTTGCGACCGACGAAATTTCCCATAGTAACATTTTTGTTATATTTATTATTATCTGTTACTCATTGTTTTTATTCGACTTTATTGTTTTTCTAGTATTAGTTTTATTATTCCCAAATGTTTTTTATTTTATTTATTAATTTTATTATTATTATTTGCTTTTATTTTATATTAAAGAATCTTATACGGATATTATTTTAATGTAAATACTATCCTTTATTTTGTACTCTATTTTATTTATATTTTTGTTATTTATTTATTTTTAAATATATAGCCCACAGATTACTTTCAAGAGGACTCAAAAATACAATTATTTCACATAATGAATAACAATTAAAATATATACAAAATTACAATATATAGTTATTAACATAAAATGCTCAACATAAAATTACATATAATGCAGAATGTAACAATATTATTTATATACAGAATAAGATAAAATAATGAGATATTTGAAAAGAAAATGAAAAGGTTACCTTGTGCAGTTATTGTTCATTAATGTTACTAGATGTTATATTATTTAGCAGTTGTAACAAATATTGTAATTAAAAAAAAACTCTTATCTCGTATCTCGGATTTTGCTCGTATGTCGAAGCAACGAAACCATACCACTGTTATTTCTAACAAATACTGGACTTCTAAAAAAATTATTTTATTTATTTTTCAGAAATTGGAAGAGCTAGAACGCGAAGAAGGTCTTCGTGAGGAAGCAGGAATGTACGTCGTTCCCAAAGTCGAACTCGATCAAACTATGCGCGAAATCAGGGACTTGGCCCTTCAAATTCGCCACAAAAAGGCAATTCTTAGGGACGAAACCAGGGTTACAAAGGCCAGCACTAAGCCCAACTACCTCGAACAGCCGGAGCCAAAGTCCGGGAGCGTTCTGTGTCTAGATTGCGATCGGAAATGGAAAATCTGGGTAAGTAGATAGATGAGATAAATGATTGATGAATAGTAATACATATATGTAATTACTACTGTAATCCTGCTGGATTATGATTGTTCTATTCTATATATCTATTATTTTGAAAGTTGTACTAAAACACCAATAATTTCCACTAACTCTGCATCCTACATCACAATAATTCTCCATTATTCAACAATTTCATTCTCTAACTTCATACACATTGTGTCCTCTCACAGAGTCATTTTACTATTATTTTATATGACTAATGATTTTTTTATATTTCTTTTCTCCTAAGGTGTGGATATGTCCGGAACCGAAAATGCAAACTTCACAAAAACCAAATCGAGATCAAGATCCGTTTCTAAGCCTTCGGCCAAACGCGTTAGGATGGACGTCTCCGAAAGCAGAACTCAATCGAGGTCCAGATCTGTTCCCAGGGATGAACAAGGAGTTAAGGATGTTATTGTAAGTAGAAAAATAATATTAAAATTTTATTTACAGGTCACAATTTTCATCCGAAACCAAAAAATCAAAACGAATATATATTTTCAATAAAATAGATTCTAGTTGAACCTCAAAAATCTAGAAAAAAATGAGAAATTTGCCAATTTTTGTGACTTTAAAAAATATCGTGTTTTTGATATAAAAATTTCACTTAGATTGTTTAAAAAGTGGGTTAAATATAACTTTTTTTAACTTCCCATAGGGCAAGTTATAGTAATCGCAAAAAAATCGAAAATGAAAATTTTCATATATCTTTACGTTTCAAAGGTTTCTGAACATTTTGGCATACCTTAGAAAAAATGGATGTATGTGTGTGTGTGTGTGTGTATGTATGTACGTGTGTGTATGTATGTGCGGATACAAATTTTCGTCGACGATTTCGGGAACACGGATCAACCGATTTGAATAATTCAAAAAGCATTCGATTTGTATTGATAAGGAGACTTGCTGATTAGTTTTTGGCGAAGGCAGATCTAGCCGTTCCGAAGATACGGGGCAAAAAGTGCCGAAAACGGTAACTCAGTTTTTAAGAGAACGGAGCGTCCGATTTTAATAATTCAAAAAACATTTTACTTGTATTGACAAGGTGAATAATTGATCAAATTTTCATGAGGGCAGGTCTAGCGGTTTCGGAGATCTAACGAAAAAAGTAAAAAAAAATGCCATTTTGTGGTCAAAAATGATCATTAAACATATGCACATCAAATTATCAGATATTTTATAGGGATTTTAACAATAAGTATAAATTTTGTTTACATTCCTATGGGTTCCGTACCAATGTTTATCCGTTAGACAGCGACGCGGCGCTTACGCGCTTTATATTTTGTCTCTATGCAGTTAAAGCAGTACGATTGCTTTGAAAAAAAGATCAGATCTTCCCAAATATGTCAAAATAAAGAAAACATTTTTTTTAGATTTTTTTTTTTTTTTTTAAAAAATTTTTTCAAGGAAAAGTAATTCTTTGAAAAAAGTTGAAAATTTCAAGTAAAGAGTTCCACTTACAGCTAGGTTTTTTTTTAGGTTCAACTAGAATAGAATTTAATCCTAAATACAATGTATTTTGGCTCCTTTCAATAGGACGATCAGTTTTTTCCTATCTTTCCCGCCAATTGGGAAAAATAAAAAAATTTAAAAACGCTTGCTCACTATTTTTTCTGTGATTCCGAAAATAATATGAATTTGTATCTGAAATTTTAAGGATGTGTTCTTGGCTAGTTTTGGAAGCCATTTTTGCAAAAAAAAAATCGATTTTTTAAGCGTCTAAAGCAGGCTCCTTCCTTAAGAATGTTATGTTGATTATTTATTCATATCAGAAACTTAAAGCACTTGCAAAACTTGCCATGGAAAAATATATAATAAATCTTGTTTTGTGAAAAGTGAAGATAATTTTTTTCTAATTTCTTTTATTTTTTCCCAGATGAAAAAGAAACTGAAAGCAATGGCCCACAAAGCAATCAGCAAAAAGGTCAAGAAAATGGGTCTCAAAGGCGAAGCCGATCGTTTCATCGGAAACAAAATGCCCAAACATCTCTTCTCAGGCAAACGAGGCGTCGGCAGCACAGACCGAAGATAAAACTTGCAGACAAACTTATATAATTATATATAAAATAGTTGAAACTTCTATTTTGTACTGTTGAATTTATTATTTATAGGCAGAAACAATAACCACTACTCCATAAGTACAACAAATACATTGAAATGGAAATACACTTTAGGGGTTTTTGTTTATACAATTATATTTTTTGTAAATATACAACTTTTATTTTTTGCTAATTTTACCAAATTTAGAGTGCAGGTATTTTTTTAATTGGTTTTGCTACAGATCACGTTTTCCAAATGGATTGATTTTTTCCAACCATGATGAGGAAGGTGTCTCACTGGAAAAAAATACATTTTTGTACATAACTAGACACACAATTATATATATATATATATATATATATATATATATATATATACAGTAGAATCCGCTTAGTATGACATCGAAGAGACGCCGAAATCTCGTCATGCTAACCGGTCATTAAAAGCGTACTGAAGAAAAACTTTTTAATATGCAAATATGTTACATGTTTCAGTAATTTAAAAGAAAAGCCTACACAAACGTTTTAATTAAAAATAAAAATGACACATTAAAATTTAATATAAAGTAAAATTGACATAGGGTAGGGCAGGGCACAAAGGTCCAATTTGATTTTCAGTAATTATACTGTATAAACCCAATGAACAACCTTTCAACACATAGTACACATCAAACAAGCATCTATCAAACTATGTTCAGAAAAACTTACATACATACGTACATAATTCCTAATTATATAAATATTATATTTTTTTACTATTTTTTAAACATTTATCTGACCCATTTTACTTCACATACGGGGTAAAGTGGAACAACCAGGGGGCGAACAGATGCGATTTCTTCCAATTGAACCAATGCAAAATATTAATTCTGTGGGTACATTTGTTTGTATATTACATTGATCTGCTATTGGTCAGAAATATTCATAAGAAGAGCCGGAATAACAATTTATTCAATTAATCTCTTGTAAAATTGCATTTTTTTAAACTTTACTATTTTATTGCTTACACCTTTGCCAAAATAAAGGTTCAGCTGGTCCTTTTTATCGCAGTTATGTTCCGCTTATCTTCTAATAGCAAAGTCATAAGAATAAAGGTGATGGCTGGTTATGAATTTATACATTTTTTGCCCTCTACTATCAAATATAATTGTTAAAAAAAATCTAATTTTATTTGTTTATGAGATATCCGTGATGGGCCATTAATAATTGGTCTACCCTACCCATAAACATACAAATTTGTTTTTTTAATGTAAGTAATCAGTAATTTTTGATTGATTTCTTTGCATAATTTTATTGTAAAAACAGCCCCTGGTGCTATTGTGCACAAAAGACATAGCAATTGCTTTCGTAGACTTGGCCACACCATGTAAAATCTTGTCGGTCATTATAATTGGACATATTTTTTTTGCAAAAATGGGTCATTATAAGCGACATATCAATGTAAGCGAGGTCAATATATCCGACTAGACAGCTGTTTTTTTAAGGAATTTTATATGAAAACCAAATTCCTAGTGCGATTACGTCATATTAAGCGGTTGTCAATATATCCGGCGTCATACTAATCGGATACAACGGTATATATTGTTGTACACCCCTGATATTATAAGTTGCTAACCACTGTCATAATATTAGATTCCTAACAAGTCCAGACTGAAATCTTAGAACCCCTGAGCTTTAGCTGATATTAACGGTTCATATTAACTTTTCTCAGACTACTGCGTAGTAGCTGACATTACACATTCTCTCACGAAATCATAAATCTACATCGACAATTCTCAGCAAGATCCTATTATCGACATTCCGCCTAGTTAACAATTCTCACCAAGTTCGCATGAATAACATTTTGTTTAATCAGCTAAATTCATTACTTTGTCCTTTTCGTTGTATAGAACATTCGAGACAAATCCCCACTACGTTTCAAAGGATTTTAGTTTTAATAATTATGAAATAAATCAGTCTTAATCTGTCGGTCTCCGGGCAAACACTTCTCTTCCAATACCTCCGAGTTCCTTGTACTTAAAGTGAAATAAAGTGAAGTTTTTGAAATAGTCTTTTCATTTATCAATTTCAAGTATTTTCAGCAAGTGAGTTTTCAGGAAAGTCGGAAGGTCCAGAGCAACAACACCGATTTGCATATAGCGGCGCCAACACCCCTTTTCTGTTCATCAACGCGGTGTCCAACAATATATATATATATATATATATATATATATATATTATCCTACCTTGGTATATCTACTGGTGTTACTTTGCCATCGGCGTCTTTAACTTCTCCACTAATACCGACTTGTCTAAGTTTATCTATAAGCTCGGACCGGTATACACATTTTAAGGGTTTAGGTTTACCGGCTTCGATTTCTTTTTTTCGAATAAACTTTTGACAAGCTTGGGCAAATGTTAAGCCGTACCACTCTATTTCCTCAGGGGAATACTAGAAAAGATAATTATACATGAATTAGGGCTGTAAATGTAGATTTATGTGCATAAAGTTACGTACTGCACTAAGATACTGTTTGTATTGACTGTAAATATCATCTTGTGTCTGCTTGTCTTCTTCATACGCAGGACATCCGTCTTGAAGTGCTTGTAAAATTTGTCTTTTGAGAGTTAGCGCTAAGGTTGATTTTAAATCACATGCAGGAGTCTATATAAAAACATAAAATATGATTAATAAAGTATGTAATATATTATTGGTGCATGCAGTACCTTTAACAAATAGTGATCAAAGCCATAGTTATCATGAATCAACCTCATAGTTCTATCAGTCACGGTTACAGAAATATATTGGTTTAAGACTTCACTAAAAACTACAGATCTACGTAGAACCGGGACCCAAAAATGAGGCACTCTTCTCTTGTACTGGTCTCGCTTT